GTCCTATCACTGGTTACTTGGGAGAAGAGACCAACACCCCCCTCACCACAACCCCCTTTCAGGTAGTGGTAGAGAGTGATAAAGCCTCCCCTCAGCCGCCTCTTCTCCATTTTCCTCAGCCACTCCATGTTCTTGTTCTTGGAGAACAATAAAGCATGTTCTCCAGACCCCTCACCAGCTCCGTTGCCCTCCTCTGGACATATTCAAGCACCTCAATGTCCTTCTTGTACTGAGGGGCCCAACACTCAACACAGGATTCAAGGTGCGGCCTCACCAGTGCCGAGTACAGGGGCACGATCCCTGCCCTACTCCTGCTGGTCACACTAGTGCTGATACAGGCCAGGATGCTGTTGGCCTTCTTGGCCACCTGGGCACACTGCCGGCTCATGTTCAGCCGGCTGTCAACCAGCACCCCCAGGTCCTTTTCCGCTGGGCAGCTCTCCAGCCACTCCTCCCCAAGCCTGTAGCGTTGCGTGGGGTTGTTGTGACCCAAGTGCAGGACCCAGCACTTGACCTTATTAAACCTCATACAGTTGACGAATGCCCATCAATCCAGCCTGTCCAGATCCCTCTGCAGAGCCCTCCTACCCTCCAGCAGATCAACACTCTCACCCAGCTTGGTGTCATCTGCAAACTTACTGAGGGAGCACTCGATCCCCTCATCCAGATCATTGATAAAGGTATTAAACAAGACCAGTCCCAGAACCGAGCCCTGGGGAACACCGCTTGTGACCGGCCGCCAAGTGGATTTAACTCCATTCACCACAACTCTCTGGGCTCAGCCATCCAGCCAGTTCTTTACCGAATGAAGAGTGCAGCTGTTTAAGCCATGAGCTTAGAGTAAGTTATTGCACTGAGGATGGTGTTGCTATCACCATCAGAGGAACGTCGAGTGTTGGAGCTCAAAACACCCACTTTGATAGGGGAGCTCCTGCCAAAATAACTGTGAGGACCCCAGTGTGAGCAAGCATCCTTGGATGCAAGCAGGACTTGAAAGGGAGATATGTTACACTGGGGACAGAGGGAAGAAAAGTAGTGGAGAGGTTGTCTCACCTTGGGAATGAAATAGCCTTTGAGAGTCACATCTTCAGTGGTCTCATGAGGCACGTTCAATGGCAAGATATTAGCAAACCTTTGAATTTCATGGACAACAGCATCTGTATATGGCATTTGAATTCGATGCTCAATCCGTGGTGGGGTTGACCCTATCACTCGCTCTATCTCTTCTTGGACTTTTTCTGTGAAAGGGATAGGGATCATAAATAGATAGATCACTTGCATGTCTCTTTCTCCTGCTAGAACAGGGGGATGTGGAGAATTCACTTTTTGTTCAGCCCTGCTCAATGTGAAGTCACATTTGAAGTGACATGATGAACAGGAAGCTGCTGATTGTCTAGTTTCCACTTACTCTGAATTTCAGGGTATTTCATCATGAGCAGAAGGCCCCAGCGCAAAGTGGTGGATGTGGTCTCCATGCCAGCTACAAACAGATTTCTCACAACCTCAGTTAAGTTTTCATCATGGAAATATCCATTGGCCTTTCCATTCTCCTGGAGATACAAAACAATAATATTATCAGCTAATTAAAGATTCAAGAAGGAACTCTTTTTTGTTGGAGAACAGGGAAAAACTTTCATATGCAGGCCTGAGGGAGGAGTTAAGTGTAAAGCATAAGAAAGATTTGAGGAGATGTCTTGAGAAACCTGTTCTAAGCTGAGTTTTATTGAAGCAGTTAAATGAAATCTTGTGTTAGCTGGCAACTGAAACTGAGAAATACGTACCAAAGAGTCCTGGGCCTAGAGCTTTTACTGGGTATGTCTCTGTGAAGGGGGATGTGAATTCGAAAGAAGAGTCAGAAATGCTGGGGTACAGAAAGGGATTTTAAACTACAAGTAAAGACAGCTTTTCATGCTTTGCTTGCTGAAATAGTGTTTTGTACTTTCCTGATAAATTACTGGGAATGCATAAAAGATGCTTGTCTGTCATCAGCTTATCTCCTAGCTGCAATGACTGCACAGTCTTTTAGCCTGATCACAGTTTTTGGTAGGACTTTTGCATGTGCTAGTTCTCTGCTGAAGAACATTTGTTTATCTGCCAAGCCTTGAAAGGAAAATAAGGAGATTTGAAGAAGCTGCTAGGATTCAATTACCTCTTGTTGTCTCACGAGGAAAGTGTCAATGAAGCTCCTCTGGTCATTTCTGTCCAAGGTTTTGAGATGTTCTATGAAAGTCACCTTGATAAAAGTATTGATTTCTTTGACATTCTGGATAAAAATTTTGTGGTCCTTCAGGAGGAATCCAAGGACTGGGAATGTGTTGTACATCTGCAAGATGTGGAGATTACAAGGAAGAAAAAACAGCTGTTAAGCAGCTGTACTACAGTTCAAGTGTACATTAAGAAAAGCCCTTACAAAACATGCTGCATAGCCTTATACTCAAGATGCAATATGTTCCTTTGTCCTCCTTTTTCCCTGGCCAGCTGTGTAAAATGGTTAAAATTTATTCCCTCTTACACTGAGTAGTAATCACACTAGTTGATGATGGCTTAGAATTACCATGTTTGTGCATATATCCTTGACACCATTTCCTACCTCTCCACTCCTAGAGAATTCATCTCTCCTCTCCACACTCATTAGAATTGGGAGTCTCAAGTTTAAAAGGCAGTTACAGGCATTCCCACACTGATTTTGACCTTGTTTGTAACGGGAGATGGGGAATAATGACCAAGTTCTATTGTAGGGGACACAATCCTTGTATCCTATTACATGTTGTTCAATTCTTCTGAAGGGAGAAGCTTATAATTTCCCAGGCTATACTGCTAAGAGAAACCCATAAATAACATCGGAGGCCCACTTTCTGCCATTTCAGGGTGCACTTGTCATGTACAGATAAATGTGTTGCGACGATCAGAGTTGGAGAGGTGTCCATGTATAATCATGCTTTTGAAGAACAATATTCAAACAGTATAAATTACCGAAACTGATGGACTTCCAAAAATCCTGACATTTTCGTTCGCCAATGACAGAAGCCTTTTGAATGTGGGGTCTTCATAGTCATATCGCTTTCCAAGCAATATGGATACGATCACATTAGCAACAGCAGCATTCATCATCAGAGTCATCTCAAGGGGCTTCCCTGGCATGGGAAAAGGTGATGCAAACAACAAAGTCAACAGTTATTGTAATTAATTAAATTATCATGCAGAGGCTCAGTGAAGTCTGGGACATGATATGCACAGAGCTGACCATAGGAAAGGTTCTCCCATCTCAAGGTTCACAGGTCCCTAATGGCATTTTGACAGACCAGAGACTGAATGCAAGTCCTTTGTGTTCCCCTCCATTTTCTCCAAACTATTACGGCCCTGCGTCTTTGTGGCCCTTCCCCAGGCAGCTCTGTTTGGGCATACATGATCTTAAAGTTTCATGGTATAAAGGAAACTCAGCATTACTGGTTCCCCCATCAGTGCTATCCTGGGCTGTCCCTTATCACCACTATTCTTTCAGAGTTGGACTGTGTCCCTTTAGGCCCTTTAGGTCCAATCTCTTAACTCCTGGTCACTCAATCTTTTCTGCTGGGGCTCTTACTTCTACAGCTTCTACATCCCTCTGGTGCATCCCCTTTGCAGCTGGACACAACTCCTGCTTTCAGGCGTTCAGGGTGAGGACTTGAAGCCCAAACTAGAATGATGATGCAGAAATATGTTTTTATCACAAGTCTGCTTGGTTGAAAGAGATATCTACTGAAGTCCTGCTGTTGGTAACTGAGCCTAGTGAGAAATAATCTTGAATGATGCTGGTTAAATGTGTAACTGGATGTTCTGTCTCCCATTGAAAGGGGTTTCCCAGGCATGTGACTTTAGGGACAATCAATTTTTTAGTATAGGTATGCAAGTCCTTGCAATAGCCTTCTGCTCTCCCAATACCACTAAATCAATCAGAGTCGCTGCACATTGAAGGAACAGATTACTATTCTCAGATGTGCTGTTTGATGTCTGACTCCTTGTTTGACTTCCAGTGCCTCAACTGAATGCTTTTCATTTGCATGTCAGGCCATTGCCAGGTAAAGAGACAGACGGTTCGTATAAACTCCTTGGAGCATGGGTGCTGGAGAAAGGTAGATACCTGAAAGAGTTCAGAGACTCTTCTTCCTTGACCCTTGGCATTTTTGTAGGAGGCTTAAGGAAAATCAGAGTGTTATGAAGGTAAGATTCCCCCCACCTTTCTGTGCCTCTATGGTGTCTGCCAGGCATCCATACTCTTCTACTACACGATCCTCTATGGCCTTCTTGCCCATTCCAAAGTCTCGTAAGGTTGTAAGAGTAAATCTTCGCATCACTTTCCAGTTTTCTCCATCAGAAAATATAACTCCTGAAATGTAAAAGGAAAACACAGAACTAGAAATTTCATCATGAGAACAAAGACTCCTCATCTGCCCTGAATCCTGGTAAAGGCGAGTGCTGGCAGGAAACCTATCAAGCTCTCAATACATGTTGTGTGTCCACATTAACCTTGGATGACTCCCTTAGGTGAGATGCGTTTGTTCTCAAGAGCACCTGTGGTCTTACATAGACTGTAGAGAGTAAATGAAACCTCAAATATGGGCATCTGTTTGGAAAATCTCCCCATTTGGTGGGGGTAATCCCACCCCCCTATACACTAGAAAAGCTACAGAGAATTCTCAGTGGCATCTCCAGAGAAGTTTCAGTCCAGCTGGTGCTTCTATTCACTCTCCTTGCACCTATCATGCTCTCTTATTCTTGCTTAGAGTCTTGTTCAAGAAGTTGTCCCTAGTGAGGGAAAAAAACCATTTGCAGATTGGTTGGTATTTAACAATACATTGGTTACTCAGAGCTAGTCACAAGATACAAATGTGCTCACCCTTGCTTTCCTGTCAGCAGATGACAACCTTTCATGTCCCTACTTCCATGTATCCCATCAATATTTATGTGAATTGAAAGATCAGGTTCAGGGTCTCACACCTTTGGAGAGTGAAATCTGCACCAAAAGAACTCAGAGGAAGAGTGAGCTCTCTCTGGGGAAGCAAGCTAAAGGCTTGGGTTATTGTTTATTCTCTCTTAAAGAGAGATTTATTATCAAATGTAAATTGAACTGGAAAATTTAAAAGACGCATTCAATAATATCAATCTCACAAGGAGTATTTGAAGTCAGTGCTGCTGATGTAGTAGACACTTCTCTGCCAACTTGTATTGGGTTTATGTGGCAAGGTTTTGGTAGCTGGGTGGCTGCAGGGGTGACCTTTGTGAGAAGAGATCAGGAGATACCCCCATGTCAGCTTGTCAACATGTAACCTCTAAGGGAAGACTCCGCTGCAGATTCAGACCTCTAAATTTCATACTTATGTGTAAATTAGGAGCATCACCTCTCCTTATCCCCGATGCGTATCACGACACATTGTTCAATTTCCCCCTCACGTCCATTGCCTCACATGCTTAGCAAAACAAAGTGAAACGTTCTGCATTCTCCTCTCCAGGGAGAAAGTCTCATTCTTCTTTGCAGAAGGCAGATTTATGGGGGACAGGACAGCACACTCACCTTTTCTGTTTCCTTTTCCTGTTTCTTCAACGACTTTTATTTTAGGTCTCCCTGCAAATGCATCTGCTTGGTTCACCAGAGCTTCCTTCACTGCGTCATATCCTGATAGCACCACGATTTTCCTTAGTCCCATCTGAATGCTGAAGACTGGGCCATAGGTTTTGGATAGCTAGTGGGGTGAAAGGGGACAATAAAAGAAGATGATTTTCAGATGGTTGTGTGCAAGCTCAAAATACTTGTTTTTCAGCAGGTTTAACGTTCTCTTTCCTGCATGACATTGGCTGTTCATTCACTGTCCAAAATGTGGAGAATTTGTTATACAAATACTCGAGCTCTTATGAAGAAAAAGAATCACAATGGGGTCTGTAATGTTCCGCTACGTATGTGAGTAACAGATTTTAGAGGGGCTAAAGGAAAGGTTGAAGAGCAGACAGGTTTGGTCCTGTGTTCCTCTGAAGAGGCAAATGGAGAGCGAATTTCTCAGTAATTGTGGCAAAACCTGTTCAGTTCCTGCTATACAAATCTAGGGAGGTACGAATCAGCTGGAATCATGAGTAACAACTCTTAGATATTCTGGAGTTATGCCTTTAGGCATACTACAGTATGTACAATACAATAGGAATTACTGCCTTTAGTGACAAGGTGCAAGAGCTGCAGCCACCAGGTGGGAATAGGCTCCATGGCTCACATGGGAAGGAAATCCAGGAAAGCAGGTTAAGAATGGCTCGTTTTGAGTTATGAGGTAACTGTGTCCACTCCATGGACTCTGTAGTTAGCTTTTGATTGAGAAGCCGGGAACTCATAGGGGATATGTTGGAAATGTTCCCCAACCCAGAAAGAGAGCAGTTTTCAAGGTGGTAGTACAGAAGAGCACAGGAACTGTCTAAAACTCTTAGGTTTGCTGTTCATGGCTTTGAGGAGTAGTGCAGTGAGAGGACCCCAAAAATCACGTGCTATCTGACTGTCACACACCATCTCCCCTGGCGTCCTGGAGTTTACAGCTACCAGATATGAAAGAATAAGTAGTGTTTGTTCATTTCCTACTTTGCTTTGGGAAATCAGGAAAGTTCCTCCTTCATGGTGAGAATAAAGGGAGAGGATCAAGAAGCTGTTTTCTGTCAGTTCCCCAATGGCTCAGTCCACCAAACAGCCCCCAGAAAGTTCTGGTCTCTTCCCTAAATGTTTCAGCAGCCCCGGGTGGAATCTCCTGTAGAAACTGTAGGGCCACTCTCTTCTAGCTACCCTTGTCTGGAGAACCTCAGCATTTCCTGTGTTCCACAGAAATAGGTCAATTCTCTTGATGTGTCTGGAAGTCAATTCCCCTTCACTGACACAAGTTCATGTGATAGGAAGAGTCATTACTGCAGATAATGAATTCTGCTGCATTTGCAACCTACTTGTCCAGAGAAAAAAATTTCCCCCTTTTGGGGGGTCAGTGACTGCCTTAGACAGAGAACTCTAAGAAAAGGAACAACAGAAGTTACCTCTAGCATTGTCAGGTAAGGTCTCTTCAGATCGACGATGTGCAGGTTTCCAATGATGGGTAAAGGCCTGGGTCCTGGGGGGAAGTTTTCTGTTGTGTGGCTCTTCCAAACGTGCTGTCTTTTCAGAATCAGCAGGAGAATGAGTATAAACAGTAACCCTACGGGAACAAGATTGACCCAATCCATTGTCTTTCAGCAGAGGCTTAGCCCAGAAGATGAAAATTCAGACAAAGTGCAATCTCCTGTCAGAAATTAAGAGTTTCAAGCATTAATGGCACTGCTACACATACAGAGATATGAGCTTCACCTCTAAGAAATGGCAGAAATGCCTGTCTGGGGTTTACTCTTGGGGAATCTTTGCTAGGCATTCTCACCATCATGTGCACTCACTTTACCCTATGCGGGTTACTGTTTAAAGGGTAATGTCTAAACTGGTCCTGTGTGTTGGCAGAGATGTCTGTGGGCATAAGTCCAGCTTAGAAACAATAACTCAAACATTACCTTGAACGTTTAGACTGGGAGGATGTGGGGGAAGGAGAAAGAGATTCCACTGGTTGTTCAGGTTTTCCGTTCTCACTTTATGGAAGATGGTGGGGTTGCCAGGTCCTGACAAGAGCAGAAGTTCAGCTGACTGGGGATCTGAGACCGTTGTGAAGATTCCTCTTGAATAACTTGAATGTGGGTTTATGGACTTGATGTGCTGAGGGTCCTATAATGGAAAGCTGCATTGATCAGAATTAAGAGAAGAACAACTCAGTGCCAAGTACATTGTTTGCAAGAGTTTTCTAGTCGAAGTGTAGAGAACTAAAATGTACATGACCTTCAGGCAAGAAAGTGAAGGATGTGCGAGGTCAGGTGCCCAGGCTGAGCCCCTTATCCTTGACTCTTTAAGGCATCAGGATTCCTGCAGAGATGTGACCAAAGGTATAGGAGAGGAGTCAGCCCCCCAGGTGATGAGGGTGCAGAGACCTAGAGGGAAATAGAACGGGCACCTGGCCGTGAGCCTGGAAGAGGAGTGAGAGCACGCCTGCTCTTGTACTGGCTTGCCTTGAGTCTGCTGCTGCCTCCAGGTCTCTGGAAGAAAGACCAGGACATTTCACCTACCTGGAAGATGTCCTGGAAAAAGCTCAGGGCCTATGTCAAGCTGTTTGCCAGTTGGCCTGTTCCTGCTCCACCTCCACAAAGGAGGTAAAAAGGCACTGAGAATGTCATTCTTTCTACATATATCTGGGATTAAATTATTGACAAACAATGAGTCAGATGCTGACTCTTGAGATATGAAAGCAAGCAGCAATTCTGAGTTGTTTCCCAAGGGATGGGCTCAAGATTAGGTCTGCAGAGTTTCAGAACAAGCACAAGTACAAGACCTTCAGGTTTATTGGAAGGTCACTGTGGGAGCTAGGGGTGTCTCTTGAAATGCAGTGGGAGAAGGAGGCAACTGCTGTCACCCCATTGCCCTTGCCTGCTCAGTCCTGATTTCCTCCAGCAGGTCTCTGGCTCCTGCAGTGCTGGCAGGTAGTGAGTGAGGTGAGCAGGGTGAGATTGTCACAGACATGAGTGACAGGCTGTGAATGTGTCATGGTTTAAGCCCAGCGGGTAACTAAGCACCACACAGCCACTTGCCCACTCCGCCACAGTGGAACAGGGGAGAGAATCGGAAAAATAAAAGTGAGAAAACTCATGGGTTGAGATAAAGACGGTTTGATAGGTAAAGCAGAATCAGAGCAAAATAAGGAGTTAATTCACCACTTCTCATGGGCAGGCAGGTGTTCACCCATCTCCAGGAAAGCAGGGCTCCATCATGTGTAATGGTTACTTGGGAAGACAGACACTATAACTCTGAAAGTCCTCTCTCCCCCTCCTTCTTTGCCCCAGGTTAATATACTGAACATGATGTCATATGGTATGGAATACTCCTTTGGCCAGCCCGGGTCAGCTGTCCTGGCCATGTCCCCTCCCAGCTCCCCGTGCACCCCCAGCCTGCTTGCTGGCAAGGCAGCACGAGAAGCTGGACTGACCTTGACTGCTCAGCAACAAGTGAAATTATCAGTACATTACCAATATTTTTTCATCGTTGTGTGGGTATGTGATTTGTGCAGTACCGGAGACTGATCGCTGGCCTGTTCACTTGATGAGAAGATGCATGGGTGTTGGGACACATGTGGCAGTGGACTGTTAACATATTTTGTACTGAATGTATGCGGGTTTTGTTTCTGAGTCAGAAATACATCTGAGAAAAGCTCTAGGAAGGTGTAGTGTAGACCTTACAAGGCTTTGAGTGGATGGAAAACCCAATGGCGGGGAAGAGGTCTTAGAGGGAGACTCCTAGGGGAGGGTGAATGGTGAACTTCTGCAGGAGGCTTGTGAAGAACGGGAAGAGCTCTCTTTTGGCAAGAGCCTTACCATACATACTTACTGAACAGGTTGATCCTAGTAAGAGACAAAGAAGACCGTATGTCCCTGAGAAATATCAAACAAATACAATTGATCATCTGATAATTCAATACATGCATTTAATCAGCAACAGATTTGAATACAAATGTTAAAAGAAATTTTATAGGCAAATGTTCAGTAAATGGCTTTAAAATAAATTTGCCTTTCAGTAATGAAATACAGTATTTGTATTCCATTACCGAAATTACTGATATTGCTCTGAAAGAGGTAGTACTGAATATCTTCAAGACAGTCTTCAAAGTTACAATCATCCACTGGTGTTTTGGAAAAGGGCTGGGTGTCAATAAGCTTGACCTTTGGTTAGTTTAAATAAGAAATATTTGCTAATAAGAGGAAATAACAATAAGACAAAACTTTATATTTCTTGAAGTCTAACTCCTTTGCTTCATTTCATTAAAATTTAATCTATCTGTATTTAATCTCTTTCAAAAAAGAAAAATATCTAATTTCAAGTTGAAAGTTATGCACAGTTGCTACCATTTAACTCATCTTTTTCAGATATTTTTATGCACAGCTTAATAAATATCTATACTGAATACATTTTTACTCACTTAAAAAAATATACCTTTTTAAAGCTTTTTTATGTAAAAAATCACGGTGAGAGCAAAGGTAAGGCAGAAAGAGTATTCAGTGGTTATTGGAGAGGGTAAAATATTGGCAGTCTTTTATGAGAAAGAAAAGAAATGCTAATTGTCACGAACCTCAAGTTTAGAGTAGTTACATTTTAATTTTGGTTTACTTTTCAGTCCCATCCTCAAAGCTCATCCTCTACTCTGTGTCTTGTGCTTTCCTTTCCTGCCAGTGTATGGCTCCTGACGAGCAAAAGGGTTCTTAACAAAACAGTTTAAGTTTCCGTAAGGCTGGACACCTCCCCGTCATGTCCAGTAACACATTACACAGAAGTTGTAACTGTGTACAAAACAAGCTCTGCTGACTCAGGATATTCAAAGCTTTGATTAACTTGGAAATTACCAACCAAAAAAACACCTTAAGACAGAGAACCAAATGCCACTGACATCTGAAGTACGGAGGTGAGTGATTAAAGTAAAGAACCTTAAAATAAACAAATCATACACTTCAAGGGCACAGTCACATTGAACAGAGAGTCATGTTTAAAGCTCTGATTAAACAACGGTTATCCAGAAAGCCAAAACCTGCTGTATTTAATCTCCTGATGACACCACCACAGACATCTTTGTGCACTGTCTGTTGCATAGAGAGAGTTTATTCGGGGTGGAAAGCAGTCTGAAACATGCTGGGAAAATTCTGTGTTGCATCTTTTCATGTAAGTGTGGTCAAACCTTAAGGCCTGGATTAATCTGTCTTGAGCTGAGGCACTTATCTAAGGTATCTATAGGGAATGGATGAACTTTGGCTTGTGCATGCTCTCCACTGGAGCAGGGTGGATACCACTGAACGAAATCAAACATGCATGGATGATCAAAACAAGGAATTTCATTTATTGTCTTGCTCTGGGCTGCAGTGATCTATCTCAGGACTGATACCCCCCGCCTCGGTGACAGATATCCTAGACAGCCCTCTCTGCAGGTTTTGTTGCATGCCTCATTGTCCCTTTTCCTGTTTCTTTGCCTTCCCCATCTTTGCCCACTACTAATTAAAGTTTGTTTGGTCTCACGTTTGCTACATCTGTACCTGAGGTTGGTATTTCAGCTGTGCTTACAGGGCCACTGCTGGCCTTTCAAGATTATGCTCCCCAGAGGGTCCCCAATTCTTCCCTACAATTATCTGTGCTATTAGGCCGTTTTTCATATAACTCACTTTTCATTTTTCATGGCGTTAGCTGTAATTCCTAGTATTGTTTCCTGTCACAGCCAGCAATTTCCTCATAAAAGGGTCTGTAGTTTCTCACACCCTGTTCATTTAGCTTAAGTTCACATGAGGGTTTAGTCACCTGGCTGTACCACGTTGTTCAAGAGGTCGCTTCTAGTCTCATTTGATGTTTTTACAACACATGCTTTTTACATTTTTAATTGTCCTAAATCCTTTTCTGTATTATTTGGTAGTTTTTAAGTATTGTGAACATCAGAATGGAACTTTTGAGGTGTTTTTTACAGATACATTTGTAATCCCTCTTCCAGTTGTTGAAGTCATACACTCCTCATATAGCTTTAGCCATCTAAAATATAATTTACCAGACTAAGCTAGACTTAGAATGCTAGACTCATAGAAAGGTTTGGGGTGGAACGGACCTATAAAGCTCATCTAGTCCAACCCCTCTGCAAAGAGCAGGGACATGGTTTAGGGGACATGGTGGCGCTGGATTAATGGTTGGACTTGATGATCTTGAAGGTCCTTTCCAACCTAGTGATTCTGTGATTCTGTGATCTTCAACCAGAGCAGGTTGTTCAGAGCCCCGTCCAACCTGACCTGGGATGTTTCCAGGGATGGGGCATCAACCACCTCTCTGGGCAACCTGGGCCAGGTTTCCACCACCCTCATTGTGAAAAATTTCTTCCTTCTATCTAGTCTGAATCTGCCCTCTTTTAGTTTAAAACCATTACTCCTTGTCCTATCTCTTGTCTTATTGCTACAGGCCCTACTTCTAGGGTCCTTCTTTGTTAAAAAGGAAATAAAGGTCTCCATGTAAAGGGATGCATGTTTTTTACTCTGTTTTTTACGAGAACTTGAAGGACTGATTTCTCTGGGGCAGTAATCTTATGAATAAAGGCAGAGGACAATAATGAACACTTGGTGGATGAGGGTCTGGGTGGCTATGGAAAGATTATAAGGACAACTGGACAACAAAACAGCATAGCTTATTTTTCCTCCTTTTAGTTTTGGAGAATTAAAGATAACTATTGATGGCATCATTCTGAAAGATTTACTCTCAGGGAGTGGTACTTTCTACACAGGTATTCCTTTGTAGTCAACACACACAATCGATGAAATTACCTCACAGTTGTAGGTTAATGAAAGACCCTCTGGATCCCCAAGTAGGATTTTGAGGGGTGAACTTCATGTATTGAGGATAAGATTTTTACGGTCTCTCTACATATGGGATCTTTTCAAGTACTTCAATAATTTGTGTTTGTAAATTTTGCACAAAATACTTCTAAAATCTTTGCATACGGAATATTTACATTGTTAAATGCCTTCTCAGTTTTTACAAAAATGATTGTGTCAAAGCTTTGAAAGGATAAAAGATGTCTTCTAGCCAACAACAGCAAAAAGTGTCAGCCATTGCATATCTGCAAAAGAGCAAATCTGAAATAAACTGTGTTACAACAAATGTATTTTCATAAATGGATAGAAATCTGACATATATAGCAGTATACAGATGATATAACATATGGGACAGCCCTGCCTAGTAACTTTCTAATTTTTTTCAAGGAAAAATACATTATCAGAACTGGAAATATCCGTGCTATTTCATATGAGAAGAGTTTTCCCCTTAAATCTGGTAAATAAGATTTGAAATAAGATGCCAATACAAAAAAGTCTTGAAAGTTCATCCACTGTGGCTTGTTCTGAGACATCAGTGGTAGCTTTCTGTGTCTGAATAATGCCTAGACGTACTGTGATCCTTCTGTTAGATTTTCATCTCCCATCCATTGCCTCTCAATGGAATACCCCATGTAGTTAGGCACAAATGTGATACTCTGCTCCCAGCCAAGGTCATCTCACAGAGTTCCTTCAGAGAGCTCAATTTTTGTCTCTCTTAATTGAGCAGACGTTATCATCCCTTCTTGGGTGGAGTTAATTTACCTTAATTTAGCTTCAATTTTCTTCTTTCTGCTTCCTCTTGTTTTAGGAGGCAGTGACTTCAAAGGTAGCAACTCACCACACAGAAGTTCCGCACTAAGTTTTCTGTAGGTTGAACATAGTTGCTTTCCGATGAGTTTCTGACAGCTAACCCTTTTTCTTGAAGCTAGAATTCAGTTCAGTTTATATCTATTGATATTAACAGTGCTACTATCCACTTATTACCGTTGGATGTAGTAAGACATATTATGTAATTACCTGTTTTCCATAGCTCCTACTCAATTCCTTTATTGTGTCCTTTAAACAGTCTAAATAAATCTATGCCAATAGTGAAATTTTTCATCATTTCACTTTCTTCTCCCTTTCAAGAAACATATTAACAAAGAATCTTTATACTCATGTTGCCACTTAGCATACCTCATCAATCACTATATTCTGTGTTTTGCCATGAAAATTATTTCAACATTTTGTTTCCTGACATAACCAGTCTTCAAAATACACCATCCAAAAATAGGACAACACACTTTCTTAACATGTTAATCTGGCATGATGTGGTGAAAAGCTTGTTAGAATCCAAATAAAAAATATCAATCCATTTCTTCTTGATTACCCCTATGTAGTTGAAGGATATGACTGTAACTCAGAAATCTTGCAGTTAAATGTGGTACCCTGTAATAGGCTTGAAACACAAAGGTTGTTTCAATGGCTATATTGATTCAGTGATGACAAAAGGTAAAATACAGATAAATTCGTAGAGCAGTTTGTGGTGTTTTTTTCTGATGAACAAATTCATTGGAAGGATCTAATTAATTCACCTGAGCTTGGCATAATGACTATGTATTCTAAAATCAAGTTTGTTTTATATTGCAAAAATATAGCTATCTACAGCACCTTCTTGAAAACCTAGTGTGGTTAAGACAATACTCAGATGTTGTTCTTTAGCATTAGAAACTGAAACAGAGCATCATTAGGACAAATACTACAGATGAATTATTTTTCTACATCGTGGCTTCAAATCTGCTTTGCTCATCATATTTGTTGGAGTGAATTTCATGTGGTTTCTCCTCTTCTGGAACCTGCCATGAAAATCAAAGAAGAGTTCAGCTGATGAGAGATAGACTTCCTTTTGCCATAAAAGGAGACTAAATTGCACTGAGAATGTCATTCTGTTTGTATATATTATGTGTCTGTCTATTAACATGGTCTCAGCCTGACATGAACTACCAGCTCTGGATTCTGAGGGATGAATTCAGGGTTTTCTTAATAAAAGAATTCCTTAACACTCATGTTATCTACAAGAGTGCAAATTGATATCTGGGATTTTCAGAGAGATCTAAAGAAACAAGGTGACCATCTCTAATGAAATGTAATTGATGTTTTATGCCAAGTATCAGTGTCCTTTCCCATTACTTGGTAATGCTTACTTAGAATAGAATATTTCTGAGCAGTTCTACTGATACTACAGGACCTTCAATTGAGCAGGGCTGTATTATTATCACTGGTCAACACAGGCTGTGAATTCTTCAGCCACACCTTAAAACTTTCCCTTTCCTGACATTTTTTATCATTTACATATGACAGCTATTTCAGGTCTTGCCAAAAACCAGTGCTTTAAATTTCCTGAGTGAAAGATTTGCACAGCTGTCATTAAAAAATGTTTTTTCTGATTGTCATTGCTGCAGCTGACCTTTTGGCTCAAAACTTCCCCTTAGACTGCAAACTTTCTCTCACCAAAAGCCAAATTGTGTGATTCATACTGGAGTTTAATTCATTAAAAAACTAATAAAATCTGCTTTTGGGTTCACAACATTTTATTTACAAGGAATGTATACCATTTATTTCTTCTTGTCTTGCCATTTTGAGTTTGTCCTGGCATAAAGAATAAAATTCAGATTACCTAACTTAAGATTCTGTCATCGGTCTCTAATGAAGGGAGATGCAGAAAGTCTACAAACAGTACATGTTTCTTAGCTTCTTAGGCTAGCCAAGAGGAAAGGTATGGCTGTCTGCTCTGCACTTGATTGAAGGCACCCAACTCAGAGAGGTATGTGGGACTCAACTGATCAAATCTAAGTCTCTGTGGTATAGAACTCTACATTTGAGGTAGGCAAAGAAAGGTCTTTCATTATCAGTGGGGAATACAGGGAATTGCAAGGTCTCTATCAGAATGGGAAGGATTCAAATGAACTGCAATCTAGTGCCATCTCTTTGTTGAGCATAAAGAGAGCCTATCAGGGCTTTGTCAGCTGTACTTGTTTCTCATCCCCATTGTTTGTGTCTTCATGCATAAAACAATAGTGCCAAGAGGCCCATCTTCTTCTGATAACCTCAGTGGTCAGATTCAACAGGAGGCAGAAGAGCTTCTGCTCAGCCTAAGGGGGACTCAACCTACAAATACGGAAAAAGTGCTCTAAATTTCATTCAGTATGAAATTCTAGATGATACTAGGAAAGCAGCACCATTTCCAATCTTGCTGCGTAAAAAACTGGCTGGACGGCCGAGCCCAGAGAGTTGTGGTGAATGGAGTTAAATCCGGCTGGCGGCCGGTCACAAGCGGTGTTCCCCAGGGCTCGGTTCTGGGGCCGGTCTTGTTCAATAGCTTTATTGATGATCTGGATGAGGGGATTGAGTGCTCCCTCAGTAAGTTTGCAGCTGACACCAAGTTGGGAGGGAGTGTTGATCTGCTGGAGGGCAGGAGGGCTCTGCAGAGGGATCTGGACAGGCTGGATCGATGGGCTGAGGTCAACTGTATGAGGTTTAATAAGGCCAAGTGCCGGGTCCTGCACTTGGGTCACAACAACCCCAGGCAACGCTACAGGCTTGGGGAGGAGTGGCTGGAGAGCTGCCCGGCGGAAAGGGACCTGGGGGTGCTGGTTGACAGCCGGCTGAACATGAGCCAGCAGTGTGCCCAGGTGGCCAAGAAGGCCAACAGCGTCCTGGCCTGTATCAGCACTAGTGTGGCCAGCAGGAGCAGGGCAGGGATCGTGCCCCTGTACTCGGCACTGGTGAGGCTGCACCTTGAATCCTGTGATCAGTGTTGGACCCCTCACAATAAGAAGGATGCTGAGGTGCTTGAATATGTCCAGAGGAGGGCAACGGAGCTGGTGAGGGGTCTGGAGCACAAGTTTTATCAGGAGCAGCTGAGGGAACTGGGGTTGTTCAGTCTGGAGAAGAGGAGGCTGAGAGGAGACCTTATCGCTCTCTACAACTACCTGAAAGGGGGTTGTGGCGATGAGGGTGTTGGTCTCTTCTTCCAAGTAACTAGTGATAGGACGAGAGAAAATGGCCTCAAATTGTGCCAGGGGAGGTTTAGATTGCATATTAGGAAAAATGTCTTTACTGAGAGAGTGGTCAACCATTGGAATATGGTGCCCAGGGAGGTGGTGGAGTCACCATCCCTGGAGGTGTTAAAAAACCGTGTAGTTGTTGCACTTTGTGACATGGTTTAGTGGGCATGGTGGTGTTGGGTTGACAGTTGGGCTTGATGTTCTTAGAGGGCTTTTCCAACCTTCATGATTCTGCGATTCTGTGATTTAGCTAAAAATGCAAATATCATGTGTCTAAACTACAGGAAGGAGGAGGATACTTGGCACAGTGGGCACTTAAAAGAGAGATAAAAAACTCCACTGAGGTCTCAAGTTGTTGGCTTTATTTCTGCTTTTTGTTCAAGGTTAGTCTAGTGTAAATGGCATGACTAGCTAAGAAGCCCAAAAAAAGATCTGGAAGGCAGCCTTAGAAAATTCACAGCCTGAGGCAGAGCAACATTTTTGAAAGCTGACTCTATGTGTAAACCACAAAAGCCAGGAGAGAAGGACTGCAGTGTGCTGTACAACTTCCAACATAATGAAAATAAAGGGAGGTTGTATCTTACCTCCCAATAAACAGAGTCATCAAAGCAATTTTGGTCAGATGCTTGTCCCAAGAAGGGCAGCTTTAGAACACCTCCTGCAGGAAAAACAGCATCAGAGGTTAAAAAATGGACAAAATGCCCAAATAAATATTCCTCAGATGTTCCCTTGGGAGTCATTTAAGTTTCCTGACATTTCCTAGTCTACAGATATTCCCAACCACCTTAGGATATGGGGTCACTCATGAGAGGTGATGCAGGTTTCTTCATGTTGACATGAATAAGAGCTTATTTTTAATTACTTAGATTTTTCCCAGATTTCAGACTGGGATTTTCTATTGCAGCCTGAATTTTTGTTTGGAAAGTATTCATAATCACATGGCTCAGAACTAGTGTGGCCAGCAGGAGTAGGGAAGTGATTGTGCCCCTGTACTCGGCACTGGGGAGGCCGCACTTTGAATCCTGTGTTCAGTTTTGGACCCCTCACTACAAGAAGGACATTGAGGTGCTGGAGCGTGTCCAGAGAAGGGCAACGAAGCTGGTGAGGGGTCTGGAGCACAAGTCTTATGAGGAGTAGCTGAGGGACCTGGGGTTGTTTAGTCTGGAGAAGAGGAGGCTGAGGGGAGACCTTATCGCTCTCTACAACTACCTGAAAGGGGGTTGTGGTGAGGTGGGTGTTGGTCTCTTCTCCCAAGTAACTAGTGATAGGACAAGAGGAAATGGCCTCAAGTTGCACCAGGGGAGGTTTAGATTGGATATTAGGAAAAATTTCTTCACCGAGAGGGTGGCCAGGCATTGGAACAGGCTGCCCAGGGAGGTGGTGGAGTCGCCATCTCTGGAAGTGTTCAAAAAACCTGTGGACATGGCGCTTCAGGACATGGTTTAGGGGACATGGTGGCGCTGGATTAATGGTTGGACTTGATGATCTTGAAGGTCCTTTCCAACCTAGTGATTCTGTGATTCTGTGATTCTGTGAATACGTCTTAATCTCAAACTAGTTTCTGTTCAGAATTTTAAATGTCTGAATGTAGAGAAGAATTCCATTCCACACAATATCTTACTATTCTTATATATACAAGTCAATATGTTTGAAGCACGTATTCAGTAAGATATCTAGGCTTTATTTGAAGAGAAAATCATTGGAAAACTACTTTTCCATATTTAAGTTTCTGCCAGCATGCATATTTATATTTTTCTATTTTGTATCATTCACGTGAAATTGTTGATGCATTGAAGTTCTTCACAGGCAAACCTCTGAATTCACATATATTTAAGTTGCTATACTGCAGTTCAGTTGCATCATACTGACCTGTCAATGCTCCGCCCGCCAGTGCAATTGCAATTGTACTGCTCAGGGCAGCAGCCTGCATGCCAGGAGTAAGGTGGACACCTTCCCTGAAAAGGGCAGAAAAACAAACCATTGAAAATCAAAACCCTGTTACACTGTGAGACTGGTGATTGGTCTTACGACATTGTACTTGCTGTCTGCTCAATGAGATGGCTTATAGTAAAATATCCTGCTGTTGTTTTGTACGACAGAAGTCATGATTTTAGTTTAGTTTTGTTTTAGACTACAGATGAAAACAAGTTCTTTGAAGAGGTTATTAGTATCTTGTAAGCCTTTAGAGAATGTTTCCCTTTGTAAAAAAGACCAGCATTTAATCTTCTTGCAGTCTTCTAAGATAATGGAAATTGCCCATTTTGTCAATTTTCTCGGAAATCTTACAGCAGTGTAATTGTAGGATCATAATAAAGATTCTTCTGTCTTTGAATGATTCTGTATGCTGCTTTTTATGCTGTTTTTAATTTATTTATTTTTTTAATTTGGGATTTTTTTTTATTTGGAGCTTTTAACTTGGAGCTTTTAATTTGGAACTTTTAATTTGGAACAAGCTTGGCATATAAACAGTGCGTTAAAGGCAGTATATCAAAAAGAGTCCTATTTAAACAAGAACATGATGTCTGACATCAAATCAAAGACACATTTTCTGGGAAAAAAAAAAATCATAATTAGATTCAAGGAAGGTGGAAAATTAGGATAGACTTTAAAAAAATCAATAAACTCCTTTCTCTCTTCTCTCTATAACTCACCTAACTTCGTCCTTTATCGCAGTTACTACGATGCCAGCGACACCTCCCAGTATTCCAGGTAAACCATGTAAATTATGAACTCCACAAGTGTCTTGAATGTTCAGCTTGGATGCCAACAAAGGCTGAAATGAGGGAAAATATAAAGTTTATAGTGAGTTTATAGTCTTCCATTATCTCTAGAACTATATGCAAAAGAAAATAGTACAGAAGTACAAGAAACAATTCAACTAATTTCATGTATGCAAAGTTTAGCTATAAAACCTGCTATCTTTCCCTTCCTTGGGGAATTGTTTATATGCAGAGAAAACCAAGTACGTCCGTATAAGGGTACAAATGTCCAAGCTACCATCATAAATGTAATGGTACAAAACACATGTCAGTCCACTGATACTCCTAATCTTTTCAGCCACTGCAGCAAAGGCTGAAAGGGATGGCCAAGTAACACATACACCCCTGTTCTGGGTCTGCTAGTCAGGTATCTTCTTCCAGAATGTTTCTGCATCAGGAAATGGCAGTTTAAACAGTTTTAGTCAGAATATTTTGTTTCTACATTTTGCACATGAAAGAATTCCATTTTATACTTCAAAAGTATTTTTTGATTATAGATCTTTCAGACATTTTAAAAGCCTGAAATGTAATTAGTCCTATTTCACTGAAACATGGCCTTGGAGCGAAATTCTGGCAACTTCTTGAACAAATATCCCAACTTTAATGAACTCTATATCTTTGGGATCCTTCTCTGTTTTTAGCTAGGAGACGGACTGAAGTTGGCTCATAAGCATATATTTAAATCACACTGATTTAAAAATAACCATTATCTAGAGCTTACTCTCTATACTGTATCAGCCAGTTTCTAAACTCCCTTTCAAGCAAACCAAGGGAGCTCCGGTGGAGCCAATGAAGCAGTAAATAAATGAGAGCAGAGGGGGGTCCTCAATACTTACAGTCAGGAAGTGGAACCCAAGGACAGAGATGATTCCAGCAATGCTCCCAATGCACATGGCAGCAAAAGGGTGGATTGAGAGGTCAGCACAGGTACCCACTGCTACTCCTCCTGCCAGGGTGGCATTTTGAATGAGAACCTGCAAAGAGTATACAGAGGTGGAAATGACATATGTGGAACAGAGGCTTCTTTCAGGGATGAGTGACTTTGAAGGCTTTTTTACATACAGAAGTTTTCCTTTTTTTCAGGTGGGTTTTTTCCAATGAAGAATGGACAGGAATTTAAAACAGGGTTCCCTGTTACATGTTCAGGATGTTGGTTCAAAAGCTGCTCTAAGCCAGTTACCCTGGGGCCAGTTTAATGCCCTCAGACTTTTGCAAAGTCACTAAAACACATCCGACCCCTCGGAAAGCCAGGCTGAGCCGGTGAGAGCTGCCTCCTACAGCAGCAGCAAATTCTGCAAGCTCATCGAGCTGTGCCCGCTCATGCTGGGCTTAGATAAACGCTGCAACTGCTGGAAAGAAGTGGCTGAAAACACAGGGATGGATTTTAGGACAAGGAGATGAAAGGTTGGCAGCCTGGCAGCCCCAAACTAGTTTGGCTTTGCCTGTTGTGCATGTGCACTGTGATACTGCCAGCGGACAAGTCGTTGCCTTCAGAGCCCTATTTTGGCTATTGCAATACGGTAACACACATAGGATCTTCTTTGGAATAAGACCCAAAGGTCCACCTGAATGTTGGACTAGTGTCTCTGCGGTCCAGCAGGTTCTGTGGACAAGAGAGAACAAGGGAGCAGGACCATAATGTTCAAGAGCTTTTCAGTCTCCAGATGCGATGATCCCACTGAGGAATCACCACACACCTAAGGCAGGGTGGGCTGCCCCAGGGCCCAATCTTACACTATAGCTTTTAGAAGTATAATAGCTTTAATTAGAGCTCCAGATAGCCCACAGACTTTGGGAATCTGCCTAATCATACTTATTATAGAGGGGTGACTCAATTTAACAGAGGTTGCAATGTGCTGCTTACCATACTGAATTTGCCTCTCTGATCCACCAGGCTGGAGAGGGCAAATGTTACGACAGCACATGCAGCCAAGGAGTAGTAAGTGTTGACAATTGCTTTAATCTGGTAAATTGTTTCAGACGCGATGGCAGAGTTAAAACTGGGCCAAAAAAGCCAAAGGAACAGGGTACCTGGATGAATATAAATCAGAACAAAACAGAGACGATTCAGTCACAAGGGGTATTTCAATGTGAAAGATCCAACACAACATAACTAGCTACAAGAAATTAGGAAGATTATCAATAAGAAACAAGAAATAGCCAAAATGCTGGAAGAAATAATAGATTATGACACAGCTTTTGACACTGGCAGCTAGGATTATGACACACGGTCTCTGTCAAATCTTGCTGGAAGACTTTAATATGTTGTGACCCCTTGTCATGCCCCAGTCACTGCCAGAGCTCATCGTCACTGTGAAAACCATACCAGAATAGGAGGCATTAGCAAGACAGTTCACGTGCAAATTCTTTATCATCTATTGCTATAACTGATAGTTTTAGCTGGTAAATTGATCTATGAATAGATCTCATGGACAGATAGATGTATGGTTTCTAACATTCATCAGTGGGACTGGCACAGCTCAATACTTTTCATTAGGTCCAATTTCTACGGAAATGCTGCTTATATCAGAAGATTTAACAAAAAGGGAGTCACTAGTAATGCACAGCGAAAATGCATCTGTAATTTGATCTTTCCTTTTTTTAACCGAGGAAAAACTGTAAAAATATGTGTGCCGCTGAAAACATTGTGCATGCATCAGACAAAAAAGTATATGCCTCTAGGAGTGTACTTAAGAAAATGGATGCAGCATAATAGTAGGCAATCATTAAAACATAAAGATGAAAGAGAGATGAGCAACTGATCAGCACTCACTGTTACCTCACTTACCAATCATGGCAAATATGTCCGAATGATAGGTAGATTCTTCATTTTCATGTTTGTTTTTCAAACCAGGACGGTACAAGACTAGGGTTACAGCCAAACCAAAATAAGCTCCGAAAGCATGGATAGTCATTGAGGCTCCAACGTCTGTGGCCTGCAATAGGGACCCAAAATAAAGCCACAGATTTGATACAGCATAAAGATGCGGATTTGATGAAGGAGCAGTCTGGATGACTTTAATGGTTTATTTTTTATGGTAGAAACTAAAACCTAGAATATGTAAACTGGAAGTATTACAAAGTGAAAACATTTATTATAAATAGAAAACAATTATTGCTAAATATTTGTACCTGAAGTATTTCTGTAACTAGGTGTTCATTGCATGCAAAGATTGTGATCTCCAGAATGGTCAAGATCAGCATCTGAACAGGACTTGTTTTCCCCAGGACTGCTCCAAATGAAATCAAAGCAGTTGCTGTACTGAAGTCTGCATTTATCATGCTGAAGTTGAGAAAACGAATAAAAAAACCCAACAAAGTAAAACAAAAACATAGGAAAAAAGAAAATCAGTTTAAAGAAACCTGAAATAGGCTGTAATATTAAACCTGTCATATAATTAATATGATGCAACTTTAACTCTTCAGATATAAAATTATCAAGATCATCTTTGTGGCTGAAAAGTAAATCAAACATTTCCAGTTGGGTTTTCTAGTGATCTTACCAGCTACTGAGGAAAAAGTGTGGGAAGGTTACCTCCTGCTTATACCATATATGTGCTTAGCAGGTTGAAATTATAGTGAAAAGTCAGATGAGATGTGTATTGTGGATGTACAGGGATGTTTTCAGCCCTGACTGTTGCTTGAATTGCAAAGGGAGCTCTTAGCTTTGGTCAGATGGTTTATCTCATTTCAAAAGCCTTGCACACCTTTCTATCGCTGTGCATCATGTTTGCACTAGCTGTCACGAAGGACCAGTGTTAACAGGTTATGGGGAATGGCAAAGATAAATATAAACAGAAATTGTTCAAAAACTTGCAGCACAGAGGGGCACTAACTTATGGATCCCTCTACAATGCCTGTCTGTAAGTACAAAAACGATCAGAACACCTGAAATGATGGACACTTCTCCTATGAAGAAAGTCTGGCAGAGCTGGGGGTGTTCAGCCTGGAGAAGAGAAGGATCCAGGGAGATCTTGTTGCAGCTGTCAGGGCTTAAAGGGGGCTTGTAAGAAAGATGGGGATGTAGTGATAGGACAAGGGGTAATGATTTTAAACTAAAAGAGAGTAGATTCAGACTAGAGATAAGTAAGAAATTTTTTACGATGAGTGTGGTGAACCCCTGGCCCAGGTTGCCCAGAGAGGTGGTAGCTGCCCCATCCCTGGAAACATCCCAGCTCAGGTTGGACGGGGCTCTGAGCAATGTGATCTAGTTGAAGATGTCCCTGCTCGTGGAAGGGGGGTTGGACTAGATGGCCGTTATAGGTCCCTTGCAACCCAAACTATTCTATGATTATGATTCTATGATTTAAGGAGCTACTTACAGTATTTCTGCTTGTCCCTCAGTAATATTTGCATGCTGTTCCTTTCAAAATTGTCTACAAGTTGTCTCAGAAAACAGAGCTGCATATGTGGAAAACACTCTGAGACCTTGGTAGAAGCAGGACAGATGAGTGGGAGGGGAACTAACAGTATCTAGAGACATAGCTCATGATATCTCTTATTCTATGATAGGGGTCCAAAACCTACTGCAGTATGGTGCTCATGCAAATCATTCCTTGAGAATTAGGAGTAAACTTCATGAGTGGATAGACACACTGTTCCATCCTTTCTTGTGTGACCCCATGTGTCATGGAAGGACAGATACTTTCATGCTTGCTGGCTGAAGGAGGTGCTGTGCTACTGCTGGAAATCTTCCAGCTTCCACAGCTTCAGAGCTTCAAAGCAGTTGCTCTGCATGACCTATGGCCCATGTATAACGTAGCACCTCAAATTTCATCCTGCACTTTGGTTTCCTTGGCCCAGTGCACCAGTTGTTGCCCCTTTAGAGGTGAAGTGCAGATGAATGCTGAGAGGTGGAAAGTAAGTCTCAATCAAATTTCAGTGAACTTAGCAGTCTGATCCCATAGATGTTGTAGTTTATGGCTTCTTCTAATAGCTTAAGCAATAGAAATGTCAATTTTGGTAAATTCACATGTACCTTTTGATATTAACATGAATTTTCCCTTCTTTCATGTGCCAAAATCCTTGCATCAGGGTTCCCCACTGGAGACCGAAAGCAGCAATGAGCATGTTGATACCAACACTGCTGAATCCGTATTTCTTCAGAAAGGTCATCAGGAAACCAAATCCAACAAATATCATCACATGGACATCCTGAAAGACTAAGGGGAAAACATGTCTGTGCAGTGACTATGAAGAGTGAATATGAATGGAGGAAAGCTAGGGACAAGTGAGGATTTAACAGAAAAGTTCCAAACTCATGTCATCAGTGTGATCCATCCTTCCCCAGTCTCTCAGTTGAAGATTGAATGTCTGGAAAATGCAAGACCCAATTATTGATTTTATTCCTTGCTATATCATTATAGAAAGGACAACAGATCTCTATACCAGCAAATTTAATATGTCTGGAACTGTTCTCCGCATGTGAAGCTACCTGGAACATCACAGCTTCATGTCCTTACAGAAAAGTTCTCTTCCCCCTCAAATAAAGGTTGTCAAATCCAGTGTGTTCTGGATAACTCCAAAATTGTACAGGTGATTCGTCTGGTAGAGTGCTAGCTGGCCCAGTGGAAGGCTATACTTGTGATCCCTAAAACTTACTATACGAGAGATTGATTTTTTCACCTGGGTAAAAGAGTAAGGTGTTAAGGTAATGATTAAATGAGTAAATTAATATTGCTAATCAGTTTATACTTAGCCTTCCTTTAAATATCTTTTTTTAAAACAATAGGAATTTTGTTAAAATATGGCTTGGTTCTTTTTCTACCTTTTTTATAAATTTCATTTTTAGGCTTTTAAATACAAACTGAGTTTGTCACCACAACATGGATATTTTATAATTTACAATATTTTGTTATTCTGAAGTGTTTTATGTGATTTAATGGACTCTACTCGAAACAGGTTTGAGTCTTGTAATTCAAGTTTTTTTTCTTTGATTTTATTGTTAGTAAGAACCTCAATATAGAGAAACTATTTCTTTTCCTTTCTGTTCCATTGCCTCTTACATGCAAATATGCAGGGAAAAACTTGAGACTTTGACCTGGTTAGTATAATATTTGTCTCGAAGTTACATTTCCCAGTTAGGTACTTTCAGCATTCCTTAGTTTTGCTATATGCATTACCAAGATTTGCCAAAAGAGGGCCCAGGAGTATAATAAGTTACTGGAGATTCCTAATAAACTGTTATATTTGCACTGTCGTATTCCAGCACTGAAATACATATATGCCTGTACTAAGGTCCTTCACATTGGGCTGCACACATCCAAGAAACAGCGTAGAAATCCAGGTGGTTCGCAGGCATCCACAACCCTTTTGGTTCCTCTTTAGGCTGGACGTTTTCTCATTTATTTCTGCACTTCATTAATAGCCAGCGATGGGGTTTTTGAGGCCCCTGCCGTCCTTTGGAAGCTTCCCGTTTTCCTCCATGTTACTCGAGTAACATCCAAACTCTTGTGTTGTGCTTCCTACTTATTTTAAAAGATATACAATCAACTTATCTTCCCCATTCGGGCTTCTGCTTTTGATATACTTGCATATTTTGTATTGCAGTGCTGTGTGAAAATAGCTGCCTTGCTTAGAGCTCAACATATTCCCTTGCTTCCAAGAACCTGGCAAGAGATGAGAAAGATGTGGCTGGGGACAACACAAACTCTGCTAATACAAGCTTCCTGATCCTGCCAGAAGCACAGTTTTTAGTGTCTTAGTGGAGGCAGAACCCCAAACACAGCTTAATTTGCCCATATTCCTGTGTCAGAGGGAGTCAGTGGGGGGGTGTTTAGGAAAAGGGTATTAAAGTACAAGATCATTTGGTGGGTACATCTGTCTGTGCACCCTCCCAGCTTTCAGCAGCCTGTGCCCCAGGAGCACAGAGCCGTGGCTTTGTCCCTGACTTTGTGGTGGTGGACTGTACATCCAGAGCAACCCTCCTTCAAATTTCTTGGAAAACAGGTAGCAGTGGTTAGTGCCGGTAGGACTGAGAGTTGATAGCCTTCCCAGCCTTCCTCTAACACCACCCGCATGACCTCAGGTACAGGTGATCACCCACCTTTTTTTTTTTTAAGTGGGACAAAAATGTGTTGGCAGGTCACTTGATAAAGCTCTTCTCAAATAAGGGAAGGAGTAACCCAAGATCTCTTTTTCTCTTTTTTGAGGATAAGTGGAAACTGGATGCTGGACAAGCCTTTTTCTCCCCTTTTAAAAATAATTTTCTACAAGTGACCATTCACCCAGTAACCCGTGGGATCAGCACCTTCACATTTAAGATGTGGCCCAGGTTATTTGTCTGATTCGTGCAAAAGTAATTTATTAAAAGCTTGTTAATGTTACCAAAAAAAATACAGAACTAGAGGGCAAATCCAGAAAAGCTACATGGCAACTTTAAAAACGTAGCCTTTTTGTTTGACTTTAGCAGAAGAAAATGGAAATGTATTTAATAAGCTCTTAGCACAGCAAATCAAAGTGATATATGACTTCAACAGTTTTCAGTTTATATGACACTTGAGTTTCATGCACAAAATGAGGGGTATATTTGCTTCTGCTCTTTTTATGATTTAATCAGCCTATGCCATGGACTTTCCAAGAAAGATTAAGGAATAATCATTAGTTTTGTCCATTCACAGGGCAGGCAGCTTCAGGTAAGAAAGTTTTTCTGGTCTCCCAGAGGAGATTATGGTTCGTTAACATTCAACATCTTACTTGTTCTTGTTTGCAATCTCCTGGTTAAATCATTGCAGACAAAGCAAGTAAATTGTTCTCATCAAAACAATGTATACAAATTCCCAGTTAATAATTTCTAGATTAGTAAAAGATGCTTTACTGCTTAAGTAACCTGACTGCACACGAGAGCGCAAGAACAAGTTTCAGAAGCACCTTGATGACCGAGGATTTTAATTCTCAGTGCCCATCAATAGGGCTGCTGCATGTTCAGGTGTCTTTTGAAAGGTGCTTTTAGGTATCTTACCCCAGCCCTGAAGATTAGAAGCAATTCTGTTTGAAATGAGCAGCGGGTTGACATGTAATCCTGGGTCCTCCTGAGGGCTAGTTAGGATTCATAGAAATATTTTAAAGCTCTCTGGACTTATTTACACAAAATATTAAAAGTCTTCATTAAAACTGGGTTATTTCATGGATGTGGAGTAAAAATTTCACGAACTTGTTATGCATCCTTTTAAAGAAGAGTAGATCTGGAATGATTTCAAATGATGGAGAAAACAGCACGATTTGAAATAAACTGTTTCAGTAACTCGTTGTGTTTAACAAAACATAGTACTTCTATTTTGCGAGACAGGAAAATAAAGATTGGGAAAAATGCTCCAGCAGATCCTGAACAAAACCACTGCACATGATTCTGCAAGGTTGGCCAAGACCGGCATATAAATACTGCTGCAAGGTCTCCACATGTGGTCAGTCTCAGTGCAAAGATGCTTGTGGCATCTAGGTTTATACTAAAACTGTGATTTTGCTCTGCCTAGAAGAGTAAATTGTAGAACCCTGAACAAGAGGGGCACATAAGTTTTGCTAAGCCATGAGGCATGGATCAATCACAGGACATTACATACAGGACACAGGTACTAAAGAAATCCTCTGGTAGTGCTTGCAAAATCATCACACACCCTTGTCCTCCCATTCTGGTGGCATGGCACACCTGAAGTTGTCCATCTGATTTGCTACTCCTGTTCTTGCACCCACCAGAAATAGAATGCAAACCTATTATATAATTTTGAGAGTGATCTCAGCTCAGCTCCCCTTACCTGAGTGCAAAACTATGATGATCCTCAATTATTATTTTAATCTTTCCTCAGTCCAAAAATACTGAAACAGCTTGGATTCATGGTGCTGACGTATTTAAGGCGTGTAAAAGCAGGACCTGCACTGCAATTCTGAGATTATAAATTGGCCCCTGGATGAAACACCAAATCTATGAGGTATCAATGAAGTTAACATCCCAGGACTCCTGGGGATAGCATGGGAAGCAGGTTGAACCCATCATTTTATTATTTTGTGAACTCAGGGGAAGTCCTGGCTCCAGGATATGCCCTATTACATCTATACAAACATAGCATGAACTTTTTGCTGGGTCTTTGGGCAAACTGTGCTCTTGTGTGCACTTTGTAGACAGGGAAGTTTGAAATGAAGAGGGCCTAAAAGTGAAAACACAGGTATTAGGAAACCCTGCTTTTATTCCACTCGCTTATTGTGAAGGAGATTCATCTACCCTTAGGTCAGCATCTAAAAATCCAACATTACATCTGTGGTGTTTGCTTAATTTATGTCTCTACTGATAAATTGAACAGCCTGGACAAAGGGCAAATGGCGTAGCTTGACTCACGTCGGTATGGCTACATGCTCTTCCCTCGCAAAACACTGTTCCCACCTGTAGTCCTTACTGAGAGTAGTCCCTGCTCTATGCCATACCTAGGAGGAGGTCAAGCTGCTGGTTGCATGAGTCAAAACCATGCCAGCAGCTTGCTAGCAGTTCAATAGTGTGGACAGCTGCGGGACAGTGTGCCGGTATGACCTAGTCGTACACTGCCTGCGCGGAAAGACATGAGACACAGCAGGCGGTTTCTCCCACATAGTTTAGACACTGGTATGAGGCAAGAAATAACTATAGGTGATCCGTAACTGGATAGATTACATTTAAAGGCCTATATTGTAGTGTTAACATCACTAGTGTTAACATTCAGGTGAGAAGAATCCTTTTCTCTGTGATGTTGGTGAGGCTCCTGCCCTCTCTATGATGCTTTTTTAAAATGGAGATATTCTGTTAAAAAACAGGGCTCCACACGACAGCTGGGAGAGGGTTTTGTTAAGTGCACGAACAGCCTGTCCCAGGAGCTCCCCAGCAAACACAGTGCCCACGGTGATGCGTGTGGCACAGGCAATCTCCATCCAGAAGACTCGAGGTTTCCTAAGAAATGCACCACAGTAGCACGAGGATCCCATGCACCTTTCTTCATTTTCCTTGGTAAGGGGGACTCCAAGGAAATGCAGGTCCGTTTAGTACCAGAGTCAGCAAGTATGATGTTCAGACTGGGGAAGGTCATTTTCTCTCTTCTTGCGGGGCAAACAGACCTTAATCTGAGTCTGAAGGACCCATATCCTAGAGAGCATCCTTCTAGCCTACCAAATTATACAAAGATGCCCAAAACACTATTGTTCTGTGTCTGTATTTGTTGTTGTCATGCTGTTTTGGGGTAGAGTCAGAGAAGAGGTAGGTGGACAGGTGTTTTAGGCAATAGCTATGTTAATAAAATAACAGTACCAGAGGAGAATTACCTGTGCTGTCAAATTATTAGTGTGGTCTCTGGCATAGTTTTTGCCTAGGCTGACTATCACCTCCTGGGTGACAGTGGACCAGAAGTCATTCCCAATATACCCTCTAGTTAAGGCCACCTAATTTAGTGACTGGAATAGTTCAATATCATGGACATGGCCAAGCTGTGTCTCAGACTCTGGCAAAGCCTAAGCTACGATCTCTCAGGGATGCTGCTGCATCTCAGTGGAGTTAATTCAAATGTGAGTAATTAGCCCCTGACGAACATCAGCTGACTTGCATCTGGAGTTGAATAATGCCATGCATTCACTGTTCTCGCAACTGGACAAGACTCCGTGTGAGGGCATACAACACAAGACTACCAGGGAGCGAAGTGACCCTGAGAACATATTCACCTGTTACAGTCACTGGAAGGCCAGTTGGAATGAGACAAAAAGAGAGATACATTCAAAATTACATGGGTACTACATACAGACAAGGACTGCTGTGCTTTCATGATCACCATTAAGAGGATCGCAGGGCTACAAGTTGTTAAGACATCAGAGCCAAGAAGAAGAACAACAAACCTTCAACACTGCCAGCACCACACAAGATGCTCCTCTGCAGACTTATTTTTCTATTTATTTACAACAGTCTCATCTTTGCATGAGGAGGAAGAGGGTGGGAAAAGTCACAACTACTTCTCAGGCCAAAAGCTTTCTCCCTGAACCTCATCAAGCATTTGCAGACGAACAAATCAACAGAAACATTTGCAGGTTGAACTATTACCGTCCATAACTGAGCCACTGCTTTGAAAGATAGAAGCAGGTTATCCACCTTGTAACAAAAACTCGTACCCTTCCTGGAGTCTGGTTTCTGCAAACTTATTTTGTAATGACAATGAATATGCTGCCCAATTTCCATGTTCTCATAAAACAACCTTTTGAAACCTGGATGATAGTAATGCAATATTCTGTTCATTTTCATTATTTGATACAGTAATCAGGACAGAAGGTCTAGCAAGAAGCACTACCATCCACCTCTGGAAAATGCTAGAATTGTTCAAAGTAATTCATATTTCTCTAAACTTTAACCTGCTATGCAAACACTAAAACTATTTTCAGGACTCTTCTCTCCCAAAACAGCTAACTTCTCAGCAGCTAGCTGCTTTCAGAATTTTATATGTGCTCAACTTGAATTTGTCTTTGAAGCCTGCTGCTTTCACACGTCAGAAAAAGTTTGTTTGCCCCAAAGCATACCTTTCTTTTCTCACTATATCAGTAAGTCTCATAAGCTATGCAAAAAGCTTGCTTAGGAATGGTTTAAAGAAATTCTAACTTTTACAAATCTTAGACAGCAACACTTACTTGGGTATAAAATTTGAGAGGCATCGCTGGTGTCATATTCCACAAATATTCCAAACAAAATAATGATGATCACTTCCAGAAGAAGAGCCAGGATCGAGAACTTGAACCTCATGTTGGTGTCAAGGGCTGAAGGCATTGCAGGAGAGCAGGCAGCTGTGAGAGCTTGATAAAGGATGCCTGCCTTCAGTGGAGCTGCCTAATTCAGAGGATTTGGGTGATATAGCAAAAAAAAAAAGAAACAGAGAAACAGGCAAACACACTGTCACACCCACTATGGGAGGGAAACTGTATGGGTCAATATAGCGATTTCTATTTCCCGGGCTATTTCTCTGCATGAAATGCTGGCATAGATGTTTTTTCAGTTTGTAATGCAAACCAGCTCATCTAGCCACAGATATGCTTCTCACTGTATTATACTTATTTTAAAGAGGAAACAGCCTAGAAGAAAATCTCATGTAGCCTGGTTTGCTGCACATAGTAGGGAACACAGTGACAGCCAATTGTATTTCCTGTAGTCAATCATTTCATCAAGTTGTAGCTTTAATTTTAAAAGGTAAATAATTTTTCATGATGTATGAAACACAGACGATCTCCTAGCTCTTCATATAGGGTATGATAGGCAAAGAGAATCTCTTTCAACAGGCTGAAGAGGTACTTGTTCTTATTTCACAGTGCATAAAGTACTCATAGAGCACAAGTTCTCTTTGTGAGCTGTTATTTTAAAAGAAAATAATTATATTTCTTCATAAGAAAAACCAGCATATTTCTAGTTGTTAGGAAATAAAGCTGTAGATTATTAAAAAGAATAATTTGAAAAAAGGGTTTTTTTAATTATTGATTTTTGCATTTTCTTTATCTCAGACAATGAAAATAAGTCAGAGACCAAATTTCTTAAATTATTTTAAACAGGTCAGTTTGTAAACTTTCTCATGAATAAAGGAGTAAATTAAATTTCACTTAGATTACTGTTGGATGATCACTTGCTCTTGAGATTCACATTGCTTGTCAAAACTTGTCTTGACTCTTAAAAGTTTTTTTTATAAAATATTTTCTTGATGTGATACTGCGTAACTTGGCCTCTGTTAATCCAGTATTTGGAAGATAGGTCAAAATTGTATGGTAGGAACCTTTATTTCATGAAAAATTGTAGCTATTAAAGTGAGGGATGATATTACAGTAGTAGACTAATTGGTCATGAAGTAGTAGCACCAGGATACAGCAACAAAATGCCGTGTCAGTCCTTGGGTATAAAAATCGACATAATCTATAGACGCTGGGAGGTGATGCTACCTTGGGCTGCTGTTCCAGTGAGACTGCTGTTGGAAAACTGCCCACATGCTATGAAATTTAAATAACTCTTTTTTTTTTTTTTTTTTTTAAGGGTACATTTGTACAGGTGTACCAAGAAGTGCCATGGCCAATTTAAGTATTTGACAATCTTTAGGTTAACAAACAGGGTGGATGACACCAGGCACCTTTTAGGAATGCTGCCCTGTTCATGGTAACTCCTGGGCTAAGTCTGCTTCACACTGCTACTGTAATCTTAGGGAGGATAAAAACCCTGGCACCATTCAGTTTTCTGGTATAAAGGTAGACTTGTCTAGACTCAGTTTAAAATTATCACAGCTTTTTATCCTTGAAAATGGGTCTGTGGATTTGGAATGGAAACCAAATTATTCAGCAAGAAGAACATACCAGTCTATCACAGAATCAAACTTGCAAGCTAAAATAAGCAAATACCTATTTTTTTCTGTGGAGTGACTGTATTTCATTCGAACAGCTCAAAGAGAGGAAGCAGAGCTTTGTTAAAAAGCTATTGCTCATCCTTGCTGTATCACAGACGACAATGTTTGGTTGTAAGGACTTGTGAGCTCCTTTATTTGCACAGGAAGTGATTAAAAAAGAACAAAATCACGAGCAAAGTTCATTGTTTTTTACCCATAGCTCACCCGTGAATATCTCATATTATTCATTACGTAGTGTTTTCTGCAGTGAATATCTCATGTGACATATGTGCAATCCTTACATTAAGTCCTTTTGGTGGTGCAGAAAAGGCTCCTTGTTGAAATCTTTTGGGGAAAGGGCCTTTTAACAAATGTTTAAATTTTAAAATGGGTCAAGTCTAGTTCATTCAATCAGGACTTTCTCTGAGAATATTGCTTGATATCTTAAATTGCATGCAGGTACATAAACACACACACAGAGACAAAATCTATATTGAAAGAGTATTCATGCATGTCTTGGTCACATTATACTGCCTTTGTCGTTAATATGAAATTATGTGCATCTCAAGAAAATGATTAGTCTTAAGTCTTAAACAGTTGTCTTAGGAAAAGATGCATAAAATTTTAGAGATTCTCATTTCCCTTCATTGATTATAATGAAAGTCTTTGGTGAGTAGTTCAGATTTAAGCATCCAAACTCTAGAAACCTGACTCAGGACCAGGCTTTTCACCCAAGATTTTCAAGGACTGGCCAAATGTGCTTGTTCGTTCTGCTGTAATTCCTGTGGCCCGTGCAGAGCATGAGACGGGGTTCTGTCACCTGGGAGTACAAACAGAAGCTGTGCTCCAGCAGCTATGTGCCAGAAAGCTGATGTACCAGTGTAACCGGGATACGCAGTCCTTAAGAATTACATTTAGCAAACCTCACATTGCCTTTTTAGCAGACTGCCCAATGCCTGGCTTTCCCTCCTCCTGTCCCCTCTTTTTCTTTTCTCTTGTTTTTTTCATCCAGAAAGAGCAGCTTAGCTATTTTCCCAGTGAGGTGAACTAATGTCCAGCAGACACAGGTAAATGGCCCCTATACATGTAAAGGTGATACACGTGTACATGCAAATAAGGACTCTGAAAAATTTTTATTCCAATATTTATGTACTCCAATGTTCACCTAGATAAATGAAACACTCTTCTCTCTCACCATTAACAAGCCTTAATCTGTCAACATTTAACATCAGATATTACCAACTTTAAGCAAAATGGACTGGCAACCCTCTCTTTTATCCGGAGGGTGGAGTTGGGCTACTTTGCTTGCTGGACTTTTTGTGAAAACCCAGTTTGGCCTGAGTCACTGCTTCACTTTCTGCCCGTTGAGATGGGCTCTGGCTTGTATCATGTCTGGGTCTGGGGACAGCTTCAGGAAATGGCAGGTCTTTTAGACATTCTCCTCAAGCCTCTTCAAGGGAAGAAAGGTAAGTAGCCATACCCCAAGTCTGAAGCAGCAGTGGCAAGGAGAAGGGTTCCAGCCTTCCTCTGCAAAAGGTTGGATTGCTCTTTGGGACAAGATGCTGCTCTACACCCAGCACTGAATAGTAGAGTTTTAAACTCCTTGTAGCTCATCCAAACCTGATGAGAATTTCACAGGACAGGGAAAAGGCACATTCACAGCATGCAGACTCCCCCGTCTGCCAGATCTGCTGTGCACTGAGTGGGTCTCAAAGAAAACAGTGAAATGAAATCACGGGAAGCATTAGGCACTGACGGTGATCTGTAAACACTGTCCTCTGTATACGCAGCTCAAAACAGAAACAGCTTCATTTCTCTAGAGGAAAAAAGATTATTCCCACTCTTTTAGGCAACCTGTGTATGAATGAAGTTCCCTATTAAAAAGAAAAACCTCTACAGATGGCTGTGGCCCTCAGTCATAACATCAGGGGAGACTATGAAATATTTTTCCGGTTAAGTCATCAAAACAAGGTCTTGATCCCGCAGCCCTACATCACAGTGGAAGCTTTGTGCATAGGAGAAAGTCAGTAGGTCCTGCATTTTGGCCTGATATAGAATCATAGAATAGTTTGCGTTGGAAGGGACATTTCAAGGCCATCTAGTCCAACCCCCTGCAGTGAGCAGGGACATCTTCAACTGGATCAGGTTGCTCAGAGCCCCGTCCAGCCTGACCTGGGATGTTGCCAGGGATGGGGCATCTACCACCTCTCTGGGCAACCTGGGCCAGGGTTTCACCACCCTCATTGTAAAAAATTCCTTCCTTATCTCTAGTCTGAATCTCCCCTCTTCTAGTTTAAAACCATCACCCCTTGTCTTATTGCTACTGGCCCTGCTAAAATGGCTGTTCCCATCTTTCTTATAAACCCTCTTGGAGTACTGAAAGGCTGAAAGAAGATCTCCCCGGAGCCTTCTCTGCCCCAGGCTGA